AAGCCTTGAGGACGCCAAGCTCGACTTGCTTCCTGTTGGCTTCATCTTCAACATCGTCGACGTCATATTCTCGGCCTGGTGGCGGCCGCGCGACAGATGGCGAAAGCTTCTGCTCGGGGTCGTCGTCACCAGCGTTGCCAGCTTTCTGTTCTCCCTCTTCGTAGCTCCAGCCGGTAAAGTCGAACATCTTGACATCAAGCGGGTCACCTACTAGCTCATCATCGATCTTACGGAGTGAATGACAAGTGGCCATGGTGTATAGGATGGTCTTATGTGCGAGGTATTCAACAGTGGGATCGCGGTCGTGCTGAGACGCAGGGAGGATATCGTAAGCATCTGGAAGCAGCTCACTGAACCTGTTCCTTGGTCGCTCGACTACACGAACTCCAAGAACGTCGAGACCTTCTTCGGTAAGAGTTCCAGTTTTGTCAAAGCACACGACATCCAGCTTGCCACCTACGTTGACACGCTGTGGGCTGATACAGAAGATCTGCTTCTGCTTTAAGCGCGAGAGGGCAAAGCTGGTACCGATGGTGAGTGTAGCTGGAAGCGCAGGAGGAACCACGATGGTGATCAGATCGAGAGCTCGCACGACAATCAGATGCCACGCGAGACCCAGATGAACGAAGTTGATGAATGACGCGACGAAGCCGATCATAGCAATAAATGCCATGACGGAGATGTACCGGAAAGAGTCGCGGTAGAACTTGAACCCTGATGGCTTGGGGAAGAGCATCGAGCGGACCAACGCGCCCTTGGTAGTGTTAAAACCAGTGCGGACAACCATGGCCAATGCAGCAGCTTCGTCATCGACGTGATCTTCATGCGGTCTGCGAGCGCGTATGATCTTGGTTCCGCTGAACAGCATGTGTCGTGCTACTTCAGGGTGGACAGCTGATGCGCTGAGATCTAGGAGGTCTAGAGCGTGGTTCGACATGGGAACCTTGGAAACAGGAATAGACTCGCCAGTAAGCATACTCTCATTGACGATGCAGTCGCCAGAGAGCAACAGACTGTCGCAGGGGAAAAGCGCGAGAGAAGGGTCGGTGACTTCGTAGACATCTCCCGGAACGAGCTCCGCAGAGTCGATGTGGGTCCAGAAACCGCTGCGCAGTACACGAACTTCGCATTCAAACTTTGACACCTCGCGCAGTCTCTTCATGGAAGCCTTTGTCTCGATGAGTGTTGTGACGATACTGACGGCCGAGATGATGAAGATGGCGCAGGCATAGTAGTAGTACTCGTCCATGGACCAAAGGATCAGACTGGCAATCTGGAAGACGTAGAAAGGATGAAAGACTTCATCGACTAGGAGCTGACCGATAGTCTTCTCGGCGATATCGATCACGTTCTTTCCGAAGACCAGCTCGCGGTAGTCGCGCTCATCGTTGTCAAGACCCTCGCGGAGGGCAGAGACTTCGGTCCAGGTGGGATCTGTCCAGGTGTTTGCAAGGACGAACTTGTCCTTGATGGGGTGGTATACGAAGCGGATGTAGCGGTAGTCCAGGCACCTGAGCTCACCGATGAGCGGGTCATCTTCCTCATCCCATTCCCGTGGCCGTCCCTTTTCAGGGTCGCCGAAAACAGTCGAAAGCGACCGGCCGTAGGTTTGCTTGCTGACATGCTGCACCGCAAACTCGCCCCATTGGTTCTCTGTGACTATCCAGTCGCACTCCTTCAGCGGCGAGCTCTTTCCCGTTATCGCGACCCTCCATCGTGGTAACCATCTGAACAGGAGCCAGCCGAGACCCAGCGTCGCGAAGCAGAGTAGCGCATAGAGCGCGTAGCCAAGGGGCGATGTTCTGAACCCGGCGATGACAATGGTAAGGTCCTCGGTCATGATGTAAATCTTCTGGTTGGACCTGCGCCCTCTCCAGTCGATGCCCGAGCCTGCGCTGCCGGTCGAAGAGTGCCTGCGCAACAGCGGCCGCTCGGATGACTTCCTGCTGCCACTTGACTTCCGCCGCGATGGCGACGGTGAATGCGATGTTTCCGACGATATGCCCGCCTCGAGGTCCTCCAGCTCCGACACGGTATAGCCATTGTTGTACGTGCTCTCGCCGTCCTCCAGAATCGCGCTATCCTCGTCCTCGCCCTGTGAATCCTGCTCTTCATCGTAGAACGCGAAACTCGTCAAACTGGCGCTCGAATCGGCGCGCGACCGGCGGTGGCGGAATCCGGAGACGCTCGTGGGGACGCTCTCGCTCATGGGGCCGGAGAAGACCTGGATTGTGGGCGTCAGCTGCTGGCCAGGCTTCCTTCCACGGGGGTTGTAGGCAGGACGGGAAGGAGGTATGGGGCCGAGTTCGAATACCTCATCTTGCGCCATCTCGACATCTTCCATGAAGCTTGCCCTGGTGCCGTTAATTAGTCGCGCCCGACGCGGAGCTGGCCGTCACACGTACTCGCTCAAGTGGGAGCCACGGCGGTACATGGCGCTCATCCGGCGCGGCCGCCGCCTCTCGGGGCTCTCGTTGTCTGCCATGGCGACTGTGGTGTTGCAGATGGTGGGCTATTGGGCCATGGTGAGCTTGTGCGACACGAAGTTTTCTTGTCGCGTCGCCTTGGGCCTGCGAGATAGGCCGTGCGGTGTATGACGTTTGAGCTAGTCAGGGATCAACCTCCGTTCAGGGTGCTTTCATCCCGACACCACTATCGAAACCACGAACGATGAATGCGCCTTGTAGTTATTGAAGTCCACGCGATTGTATGTGGGTGAGGAGTCGCTAATCACATCATGCCGCCATGGGATCCTGCACGCCAATGCGGTGATTGGCTCAGCTACACCGTTTACTCAGCCTCGCACCATGTACGTCGTCTGTGAGGCCTGCTGCAGCCTGCCTTCATTCATCCTCTCACACATTACTCATTTGCATTTCTTCTTGAATCATTGTCTCTGGGATTCCGGCTTCATGGTTCTCTCCGACGAACCCCGCGTCCGCCGACACTCATATGCAGCACTCGAGGGCCCAGAGCACATCCGGCTTCTGGTGCTGCATCCAGCCTTGTCGAAAGACGCACCTCTACGAGTTGACTTTATTTCATCAACACTGGAGGATCTCGAGGGTCGATACGATGCCGTTTCATATACATGGGGTCAACCAATCCTATCCTTCGCTTTACTTTTGGACGACGGCACGCAGGTGTGCGTGACAGAGAACCTTGACCGCGCGCTGCGGTATTTGCGTTACAACAATCGCAACCGACTCCTCTGGGCAGATGCCGCGTGCATCAATCAGAGCGATAATGCGGAAAAGGCAGTGCAAATCCCTCTCATGGTCGACATCTTCCGCGGTGCTCAGAGAGTCATGGCTTGGCTCGATCCGGGCGGAGACACCACGGTCGAGCAAAGCGGTATGCGGATAATTGAGCGTCTATCCCGGACGTCAAAGCAGCGATACGTAATATGGGCAAGAGGTAACAGAGAAGTCACCCGTTTTATCAACCTTCCTTGGTTCAACAGACTTTGGATAGTACAAGAGGTTGTCTTCAATTCGGAAATCTGCTTGATCTGTGGTGGCACAGAGATTGCCTTTCCTCGCTTTATTGCCGGGCTATCTTTCATTCAGGAGCAAGTTGGCTTTTTGAACGATGATGACTGGGCAAGAGTAGATGCCATTGTCAAGATCGGGAGGCTCTGGAGCCGCCGTTCGATTTTCCCCACCCAGTTGTTAGGATTTCCGCTATCGCGGAGTGACTCTAACACTGACAGTAACGACATCACGAGCCTGGTAGAGACTTTTGCGCTGTATGCATGCACAGATCCACGAGATCGAGTGTTTGCTATGTTTAGTATGGCAGCTAATGTGAAACCAGCCGGCTATGTCTCTGATCCTCTCGCCTCTTCGCCGTCGGAAGAACAGGGTGTAGTTTGTATGGACATAGACTACTCGCTGGACGTACTTGAAACATACAAGGCATTCGCGCTTAGTTGCTGGAAAGAAAGACATACACATGCAGACATGTGGGAGGCTTTATCTCTGCGTCAACGCTCATCTCCACCGGACGATTGGCCTTCCTGGGTGCCAGACTGGCGGGTTATACCCAAAAAGCCCCTGTTCGACCACGAGGGTGACTTTGACCTTGACTGCCGAGTAATCAGTACCACAAGAAACGGAATTCGCATAGAGGTTGGCAGAGAAAGATGTTGCGTGGACTGGGATAATGTGCAACCTTACACTATCAGATCAAAGGTTTCACGGGAATCTGTCGATTCTAAAATCTCGTATGAGTCACAACTCCTTCAGCTTTGTAACATTGTCAATGAAACGGAGACAACGCGAACTTTCGACCCGTCCACTGACACGAGGGAGCCCTTATCCTGGGTGTTGGATACCACGCCATTTCCAAATTTACTGTACAAGACAATTCGAAGGAGCATGCTTCGCCTCGGCCATGACTGCGATTCACACGACTCTCAACCTGAGAATCTCGACAATGGGGATCTCTTGTGCAATCTCATTGAGTACTTTTGGCCGGAAACAACGGATTTAGGAGGACAGCGCTCGCGGCACGGGCCTGAGTGGGCACCTCCCAATCGGCAGGACCATATCCGTGAGTCAGATCAAGCCTCAAAAGATACTGCAAAACTGTTCGTATTCCATGACCCAGGTCATCAGGCAAACTCCATAGGTTACAGCAACGTATCACCTGAGGTTGGTGATCACATCGTACCTGTGGGAAAAGTGATCGAAGGCTGTCCGTATCAGGGACTAATAACGGCGATAATACTCCGCCCAGCTGATACATTGAAAGGGTATATCGAAGAGAGCCCGGCCTATCGCTTTGTTGGCACCGGCCGTATATATGATCCAACCCATGTAATGGTGGATGCATTAAAACCGGAGGGTGGGCTGATAACCGCAGGATTTATTAAGTCTTATCTTTCTGAATTGGGATTCAACCATGTCTACGATCAGTTCGATCTGGTGTAAAATCTATCTGGAAGGCACCCATCAGGTACGTCCACTCAACACACCCCACCCCACCAACCTCTCCCCCTAAACCCCCATCTTCGCCCTAACAAACGCCTCAGTATCATCAAGCACCTCCTGCACCGCCTTGATAGTCCCCGGCGGAAACCCAATAAACCCATGCGGCGCGCCCCTATAAATCTTCACCACACTTTCCGCACCCCACATCCCCCACTTCGCCCCCATCAACACACTATCATCCAACAACGGATCCTCACTCCCACACGTAAACAACGCCGGCGGCAGTTTCATACCTCTCAAATCCTGCCAGAAAGGACTTATCGAGGGATCGCGGCGCTCCGCTTCTGTGGTGTTGGGGAGCAGGGCGTCGATGTAGGATTTCATCACGTCGTGGTCGATTACGAGGTGAGATTCGTGGTGCAGGACGTGGGGGAGGAAGGAGGACATGTCGTAGCAGCCGAAGTGGAGGAGGAGGCCGCGGAAGGAGAATGTGGGGAGCGTTTTTAGGAGGTGGAAGGCGACGAGGCAGGCGAGGTGGCCGCCTGCGGACTGTGGGGGGTGTTAGTATGGGTGTTGGGTTGGGTAGATTCGCAAAAACAGAGGGAAGGGGGTAGTGTAGGGAGGTAATGAAAGCAGAAAGGAGGGGGAGGGAAAGACACATACCTCACCACCCGTAAACATCAACTCCCCACCAAAAACCTCCGGACCATTCTTGACCAGCCATTCCGCAGCGTCGTAGCAATCTTCTGCGCCGGCGGGCCAGGGGTCTTCGGGCGCGAGCCGGTACCCGATTGATACGACTGTTACTTCGAAGTGGTCGGCCATGTATTTTAGGTAGGGGTCTTGACTATCTCCTCGTTAGCGCCAATCTTCAATACCAATCTCCCATCCCCCCTCCCTTCACTACCCCCTTATCTCCTACCACCCCCCTCCACCCACTCACAGCAAGAAAACAAAAAGAACCCAACTTACTAAGCCTCACTCATCAACACCCACCCCCCACCATGGATATGCATATGAATCCCCCTGCTCACCCCTCCGCTCGGCTTAAACACCCTATACGGTATCTCCCTTCCTGCCTCTCTCGACGGGAGAGAGCCGTTGAAACCTTCGGGTAGAACCACGGGTTTGGGTAAGGGGGTTTTGCCTTCCCAGCGCATCTGGCGGTAGGCTGCTGCGCCGACCTGTGGATTCTTACGTTAGCACGGGGTTGGAGGATATGGGACTGGGTGATGGGGGATTAGGGGGTATGGGGGATGGGAGAGGGGGTGGTGGATGGGACATACCTCATACCACCTCGGTCCATCCGCCCAGATCTTAATCAATTTCTCGTTGAACTCCAGGGTTTGTTTGTCGATTCCGCTGCGATCGAACTTCGAGGCGTCGACTGTGACGTCGGACTTTGGATACATGGTTGCGAATTATCACAGTTTCTTTGTGTCCTTGCTCTTTCTTTACCAACAGGCTACTTGAACGTTGCAGAACGGCGCCTTCACGAGCAGTGTCTAAAGGATAGGGGATCTAACAAGGAACTCGAAGATGAGTCAAGCAGAACTAGATGTATAAAGGCAGCAGTAGTAGTAACCATGCGATTACCACGTTACATCCCCCATCGGCCGTACTCCCTCGTGTTCCTCCTCTCGCACGTATCAAAGTGGGGGCGGGGTATACAACACGGCCATGCTAACTTCGAAAGGACGTTAGTCTCTCTGCTGTGGTTGGTGTACAGGCATTTATTATCTCCGAAGTAACGTTCGTACCTGCATTTTCGGGTTACTCTTTCGGAAGACTCCGGATGTCGTGCGGTTGCGACGATGGAGACTGATATCGCGTCCGGTATCGGCGGTGGCCTCGCAGCACGACCATGTCGAACATCGCGATAACATACTGTACAACCCAGTTTATGCACAGATAGCTAGGTGATAGGATGGGAGTGAGAATGGTATTAAAGTATTAATAGAACTGAGTAGACTACCGCACAGGTTTCGCTTGCATCCGACTCGTCGACATACCCGTATGCCCATTTACCTGCCCTCCCTTCACCCTCCGTTTCGCCTGCCGCTCATCCCGTACAAACAGCGATTTAGCTACTGACACTGCTACCGCTGCTGTGCGAAAGGGGTACATGGCGATGTCCCAAGTCATCTGCAGCATGCAGCTCATAGTACCGGCGATCCAGCTCAGCGTCATGGCAATCACGCCTGGTCGCTGACCGGTTCTAGCAGCCGCGGCAGCTAGGGCGAGTGTGTCTCCCAATCTAGCTTCTAGGTCTTGAAACCGCGCTTCGATCTGTAGGGACTGCGCCATGTGACGTTTTTCATAGCGCCTTACTGCGCGGTTCAAGGCGTCGAGTTGAAGTTGTGTTGTTTGGCGGACTTCGGCGCTGAGTTTCTCTACGTCTACCTCGTTGTTGTTGGCGGGCGCTGGGCCATCGATCCGGCTTTCTAGTTCCGTTATTCGCTGTGAGAGTTGCTGGGTGTCGGCTGAGCGGACGGGCTCTCTTGGGGCTTCTCGGACGATGCGCTGCAGGTGGAGGATTCGCTCTGTTCGCATCTTAATGAGGCGGTTTACGGGGGGTATCTCGGCGATGAGGAGGAAGATGCTGAGGTTCGCGTCGGATACTATGCCTTCGGCGCGCATGAGCTGGCCTCGGATGGTGTGCATGAGGAGCGCGCCGAGGAGGGGACCTAGGAAGCAGCCGACAAATGCCAGCATCTCCGACCGCTTCAGGGCTTCACGAGCCTCCTTCTGCACTCGCGAGACAGTCGCATCGGCCGTGATGTTGTTGGCCTTTGAGTCTACCGTCTCGCCTGCCGGTTCCTCTACAGCCTCTGGGGCTTCCTCCTCTTCCTCCTCATGTATCGTGTCGTCGTATGTCGCGTCATCCGTGTCGTCGTTCAGGTATCGTCGTTGCTGTGCCTCGTGGTACCAGTCCCTGCGTCGCGTCAGCTGTGAATCTCACCTATGCTTGCTGCACTCACCATGGCACCTTGACGCTCCAATGAAGGAACCATCCCGCCAGTACCAATATCAACACGTCTGTCGCGACATCTGCGCCGTTCTCTACCGTCAATCCAATGATGGCAGGGACCACGGCGGCGACCACAGGCAGCGCAATCCATCGTGACGGCTCGTCTGGAGATGCATGTCGGCCCATGTCATTCTTCCCACCCGCTCTCAGAAGATTGTCGCTGGAGGACCGCAAGGAATAGCGCGAGTCGGAGAGGTCGGAGACGAGGGAGCTGCGGCGTCGAGGGGCGGCTGTAGGGGGAGTAGAAGGTCGCGCACCCTCAGCAAATGTGGCGGCGCGGTTCAGCATCCTCTGGCGAAGTTGAGGGTGGATGCTGGGACTGTCGGCCGGCGCACCGTCCATGACGAGTACCGGTTGAGGCCTCGGGATTGAAGAAGCAACGTGGACGACGTCGCTGCCAATGGATGCCTAGACGCCGCTTCAAGAAGGCGCAATGTGGTAGAGATGCGAGTCACCTGATCGCGACAGGTGCAGGCGCCGCGGAAGCATTGCTGAGGCTCTGGTGACGCTCACACGTACTAACCCGACGGTCGTGTGCCGTAGTGGAAGACGCCTCGGCGGGTCGTTCGTCTTACGTCATGTCTCGATGCGGTCAATTGTAGAGCTGGGACCCTCTCCGAGTTTCCTCACACATGCGCTATGGCCTAGCTTCCCATGGTTTGCAGGCGATTCACTGCGAACACCATCTCGACAGCAACAGGTATTCTGTGCGCTTCCCGCATTCACGGCCATTCAGACCGTGGCAACCATGCCACACGTGTGCAGGCTTCTCCTGCTGTGCAACCCAGCCTACACCATGACCGAGGAAACGACCAAGCGCTGCAAAGGCTCGCACATGCCTCATGGACTATCTTCCATTCGATCAATACAAATCTCGCCACTTGTTGTTCCCCGATGCTTCACACTGGGACGCAGCCATCTGCCGTAGAGTACCCCATCGTCCCAACGCACTTGTTCGGACTCCGACAATGTAACAGATGCCCACCAAACCGGGCAGGTAAATACCGGTTCCTGGATGCTCGAAGCGGGTGAGTAGGATAATCTGGCTAAACCCGCCACGTACAACCCGACCTGCAACCATGCCGCAGCAGCGGGGACTTAGCACCTCGTCTCCCCATGATTCCCTCTCTGATTGCGCTGCTACTTATCACAGACATGTCTCGTCTCTTTCTCGTTGGTTTTCTATTCAGAAGTCCTCTTTTTCTATTCAGACCCAAATGCGGACAGGCAAAAGTCTCACTTCCACTACCACAACCATACCGCCGCAACCGAATATCACGGGTACCAGGCAGCGCCCTGTCCATGCGACGGGTCAGCCCGTTTCAAACAGACTGTGATTGACCTGGGCGAGAGCGTCTGAGGACATGCTACTCTAGCGGCATACTCGTTTTCACCACTCAAGTGAACGTAAGTCCTATTGAGCCTTATTGAAGCTTGAGACACGCATCTGTTCTATTGAAGATTTCCATATACTCGGTATCGACGGGAGTGATGGGGTTTTCGAGGCTGCTTGCCGCCTGTTCGTTTCTTCAGTTGCTTTTCTTTCTAATCACAATCTTTTCTATATCTAAACCCATCAACACTGCCTGACACTATCCTGGAGATAGCACAATCGACAGCTCGGATTCCACTTGATCGACGGCTACATCTCTGAACTGGATTCAGGTCTGCCGCTTTGCAGCATCGAAGAAGATTATCCATCGTCATTGGTTGGTCCCTCCTCTTGACATCCGCGACCATGTCCATGACATCTGCTGCTATGGCAATGACATCTACTGCTATGTCTTTGACATCTACTTCTATGGCAACCAACACACACTCCTACGAAGCTTACTGGACTGGGGATGCGGCGGGGACGTATGAATACAGCACCAACATCACCATGGAGGAGATGAACGCGCCCGTCTCCACACAGGCCATCCTCTTCGTCACCCTCGCCTTTCCAGCCTTCCTCCTCTGTGTTGCACCAATGATCTGGCATTTCCGTCAAGCCAACGTCGCAGCCGGGTCACTCATCTTATGGATTGTCCTCCACAACCTCTTCAACTGCATCAACCCGCTCCTCTGGCCCCGCGACAACCTGACTGAATGGTGGGACGGTGCGGTCCTGTGCGACATTCAGATCCGGCTCCAGGTCGGCAGCTACGTGGGATTGACCGCCTCGTTGGCCCTGGTATTACGCAAGCTCGCCAACGTTATGGATACACGCAATATCACTGTTTCGACCAGCCATAAGAGCAAAGTCAAAGCGAAGATCTGGGAAGTCTTTTGGTGTTGGGGCGTGCCGTTGTTACTGATGGGCATTTACTATGTCACCCAGTACAATCGCTATGCAATCGTCGGTATTGCTGGGTGTTGGTCTGTCCACGATGCTTCATGGCCTAGCATGGTCATTAGTTTCATGTGGTCAGCCGTTGGCATTGTGATCGATTCCTACTGGGCAGGTAAGTCTCATCTTCTTCCTCCATCAAATCACCCTACTAATTATGCAACAGCCCTACTTATCTGGCGTCTTTACCGATACCGACGCGAGTTCCACCGCCTTGTTGCAGCGCGAAACACCACGTCCTCACGCTTCATCCGCCTCTTCCTAGTCAGCCTGATCGTCATCTCCTTCTATCTGATCTACACCATCGTACTGCTCATCCAGATGGCCGGAAGACTCCACGACCATTACTCTTGGGACAGAGTCCACGATCCCGAGAGATGGAACAGAATCACAAGAGAGCCCGGGCTGGGTAAGATCAGTATCGAGAAGTGGGTTCAGATCGCCACGGGATTCATCATCTTCGGCTTCCTCGGCACGGGAGTCGATGCAAATGCTCATTACAGAGGACTGTTGGTCTTCATTGGAGCTGGCAAGATTTGGCCTAGTCTACTACCTGGATCGGCCAACAGGAGGAGACCAATCAGTTTTACTGCTCCTCGTAGTTGGACGACATACTTTTCCAGCAAAGCAAAGAAGATGTCGTGGTTCGGTGCTTCTGACTCTACACAGTCGACATCGACGAGCGCGGATTTCAAAAACGATACTTGGACCGCATCTACATACAACAGCCCCGTGGCTCTCGATTCAATCCCTCGTTTACACAGCGTCACAACGCAAGACACCTTGATCTCCCAGAAGAACGACCAAGAAATGGCTTCGCAAAAGCACAACCAGTCCGCCTCACCATCTCCATCAGCGTCCCCAACACCTCCCCGCCCCACATTCTTCTCCCGCTACTTCACCCGCCCCTCTCTAAACGGGCCTCTCCTCCCCTTATTCTCCTACCGCAACATCACCGAGATCAACTCCAAATCTTCCAATCCTTCCACCAACCCCACCGATCCTACCAACCCTTCCACCACCGACGCAACCACTACCGGCGATACAAACAC